CACTACAAGATTTTGTCTCAATCGATTTGTTAAAGACTTTGGAATGTACATAGTGTTTACCATAGAGAAATATATACGCAATATTTTAAATTAATCAGACAAAAAGGCATACATAGGAGTAACTTGTAAATTAAAAAAAAAAGAAATGATATTTCAATTGAGATTATCTTCGTTATCCGTCTCAGCTCGAAAGTAATATCACAGTCTCAAGAACTAGGTATTACTATCTATCGATTATATTGTATCTGCAGTATCGTATTGCAGCAGTTTAAATGTATTTTTTTCTAAGATTAATAAAATTAAAGTCTCTGTCTTCTATAGTTAAAGTTCTGTCTTATATAATCACACTTTGTCCAATTGCTGAAATAAAGCATAAAATTAATATTTTTTTGATTACATAATGGCCTTACTCACCCACTGTGTGATATGGAAGTGGACATTAATTCCTGAACGCAAATGACGTGTGCGTCTAGCCGTTTCGATCTTTAACAGCTTTTGTTAACCTAAACAAAAAATAAATAACAAAGTCATTACAGTTTGTGAGTTAATTGTTATTTGTAGTAGAGTATTAGTAAAGTGAAAATATAAAGAAACTAGTTTTGATCCGCGACTTTGTCCGGGTAACTTGTATATGTCTACTGACGGGGATAAAAAATAGTTTATATCTTTTTCCATCCCATATAGGACGTATACCAAATTTTATAGTGACTGATTAAACCCCTATGGCGCTATAAGGTAACAAACAAACAAATTCACTTTCACATTTATAACATGAGTAAGAATATGCTTACGTCTGTTATACTAAGTGAAAAAAGTACTTAGTTTTCCAAATTTAACTCAGCATATTTCTTTTTATGGGCCAAATTTGAACCCACAGCTATTAAAGTTTTATTTGTAACTACTAAGCTACTATGCATATGGTGAGGAAGCCTACATACTAAATACATGGGTTAGGATATCCTATCAATCCTATTAATATTATAAATGCGCAAGTTGTATGGACAATTGTTGCTCTTTTACGCCAAAATTATGTATATGCCTGCTATAGGTATATTCGTATATACCAACATGCTACACGATAAATCTTACTTAATTTCTGAGCATATTCCTTTTTAAAAGGCTGGCAGTACACCTTTAATTGTTCTGGTGATGCGGGTGCTCATGGGCGGCGGTGGGCTCTTACTGTCAGCTGAGCCGCATCTTTGTTGGTGAGTCTATTTTAAATAAATAAAAATAAACTATTAAATAGATTTGAATGGAATTTAGTATATGAGTAGGCTATATCTTAATTTAGTATATTGGATATTTTATATGCTGATTCACGCGAGAAAAAATAGATAGATACTCTTTATTGTTTCCTCCAAAAGATTATAAGTATAAACTTATTCTAAATATAAACCATTACAAGAAATAATCACTATGAGAAAACAATGGGCGATCTTATCACTAAGAGCGATCTCTTCCAGGCAACCTTAGGATGGAGAGGAGTAAATATAAACAATTTGATTGAAAGCACGATGAAGATCCTATTATTTGTAAATATGGAGATGTAATACATGTAATAATGTATATATATATATATATATATATATATACATATACTGCTCACATGTATAGAAATATAAAAGCTACGAGATACAGCTAACAAATTATAAAATTCAAAAGCCTTCATTTCAAGAATGACATTTCAGTATTACGTCACTAGTCTAAACGTTTAAAACATACATCCATTGCAACACTGTTTTTCTTTACAGACAATTTGAAGCCGTTCAAATTTACGTAGTGATAAAGTTGCATTCTTTTCACTAATTTAGTCCATTTTGTACCATAATGATATTATTATAAGATACAAATTCACTTGAAATTTTTACTAAAGATATTACCTTTTGCACTTGTCATATACTCGAGACAGTAGGCACTCAGTCTGAGCCTGTCTAGGAATTAATGTAGCGTGACTAAAACCTCTGTCCCTGCACGCACCTCTCATGTTTTCCCTTTGTTACGTAGACCGTCTGCGGGTTTGACATAAGCATATGTACTCGTTAAGTAATATAATAAATAAGATAATGGAACACTAATTACATAACACAACATTATGTGAGTAAAAATACAATATGTATTTCTTTTTCATCCTTAGGTCGTTGTCAGAGGATATATTTCGACTGAAATATATATATGACAATTAAAATGGTACTAAGTTGAAGATTATGATGATGATTGAGATAAAGCCTTTTAGATATTTGGAAACGAACATTTCTATATACGATTACGTTACCACACGCAGAAGGTGATGAAAAGCCTGTGTCATTATTTCATTTTGAAAATGTATATATATATATATATATATATATATATATTTGTTTGCAGTCTATTTGTATGTCCAGTGTTTTAACAATAGTGTAGTAGTTAATACAGTTGTAATTATTATACCCGCATCTAAGGTTGATATATATTTAGTAGATATGTGATGTCTTCTGGCCGATTACTATTTCTGCTGAATGTTACGTGTCAGAGATAAGGAAGATTAATGTCGCACAGCTTATATAGTATTTATCTACTTGAGTGATTTTTGTAGATATGCGATTTCGATATCAGTAGAAATGAACTGACAAAAATATAATAATTATTATATTAAAATTATTGATTTTATTATTGGCGTTTCTTTGAGAGATCGAATTCAAGTCAAAGATCTAGAGTTGTTGACATAGTCGAAAGGATCAGTATACTGAAATGGCAATGAGCTAGTCATATTTATCGTAGAATCGATAGCTGTTTATGCAATCATGTTCTGGAGTGGAAATCACGTTTGAAAAACTAGCAAAACGGCGTAATAATTTGCGTAAAATTGCTGGGAATAATTAGAATCGTAAAGCACGGGACCGTACAAAGTAGCGTAATGTGGGAGAGGCCTATGTCCAGCAGTGATATGCAGTGGGTTGGTGATGGTGATGATGGTGATTAAAATTATAAAAGCACTTGTCGACCCGGTATATATTCTACTCCCGACCGGGTATATTTTTTCATTTCTGATAAAAATTATCCTATCTTTAAAGTTGTTATATACTTTTACAAAATTTCTTTAAAATCAAATCAGCAAATACAGGATTTTATTATTATAACAAGTATTATAAAAATATGTTTACTTTACTTTAAGAAAGATTTTTCTGGTATAATAACAGAGTTAGAATATACTTAAAATTATAGAAGGATAAAATATTACATGTATGATAAAATACTTTATATAATATGCACACTATATAAACTATTACACCCAACTGGGTGCAGTTGTCATAGTTATGTTTCTGAATTTAGAATTTAGAATGTATTGTATGTTTAATTTTTTGATACACCAAAAGTTATAGTAATTACACATACGAAATCACGGGCAAAAATACAAATAGATACATAAATCACAGTTTTATATAGTATATAGTTAATATTCTTAACTAATGAGAACTTATCACCATTATTTAGTGTACTCATGTAAACTAGTAATCATGATTTCACTTCAGTTACACTATTATTGTACTTAGATAGGATATATGTAAAATAATCCTGAAAACTAACTTGTGCAAACTTGGTCAAGACAGTTTATTTAATAAATTACTTTCACGAAATTATTTTATGCAAAACTTATCAGCATAGATATCTCCGTCTTAGTCGTGTTTGTGTTCTGAAGTATATATGCCTGCATATAATACACAGTGAAATTACCCTCTCCTCTTCTCTACACGCCTCCATAATATTTTAGTTCTTAGGAATAGTAACATATGTAGCTATAAACATCAAAGTGATATTTGTGATATCCAGAACCCAGAGTTGAACATTTGGAAATGCAATCCTGAACATCCAAACTCGAATTAAATTAGATATTTTTATATGCAATTTAAAATGCCGAACAATCTGACATCCCTGATGGAAAGTAGAGATCTACGGCTATTGTCATTAACAGTATCATGGATATTACAGAGTATACCGTGACGCCCATGATATTTATCATGCGAACTAAAGTGTTACGCTTCCATGCCTTGTCATTTTTGTGCAAAGCCTGGTAATGTGTCGAATAAAATAGCCTACTGAGAATATAACTCAGAGCCACATTTACGGGAAGCAACATATCTACCATTGAGCCACGGAACTTTCATCCAGTAAAATCAAATTAAAATACTTAATGGTCAGCAAATTTTTTAGCAGTTTCATAATAATACTTATAAATCATAGACTAATGAACAAAAACCGTAGGCAGCATATGCAGCGTTCGCTAATGGTCAATATAATACAACATAAAGACGAAGTTTCATGTCAAATGATCTGACAAAGCGCACCCAACGAAAAATGGTGAACGGGAATGTTCTGGAACTGGAATTCAGATCAGGCGAACAACTTAATGACACCCAATATATCATCGTTACGTCACATGAATAATGGAATATAACGACAAGAATTTGTTGAGCATCCACTCACTTCGCTTAGTGTGAACTTTGACATCTATTTTCAGTTTTGTAAGAAATTCGAACAGTTCTATTGTGTGTGATGGAGCTTATTCAAAAGAATGACGTTAGTATGACGCCATATCCATTGCTGGGTACAAATCTCTTTTCATAAGAAGGGCCTACCATTTTTATGTTGGCCAGGTAGTTGGAATACAGTATTATATTTCAAATTTTCTTTATTATTAACTAGTGATTTTTTTTATATATATATCACTCTCATTATCCCCTTTTTTGATATTTTAGAGATTTGAAGAAATGGTCACATGTTAATTTTTTACTATGTCAAAAAACGTTTTACGGTTAAATACCGTAGAACGTTTTTTTGACACGAATGCAAGATCCAAATTTAATATTTACTTACTTAAGTAACAAAATAATACTGATGATTGTTTTGAACTAGTAAGCAATTAGTTTGAATATAGCTAAGTAAAATTATCGATGCCTGTACTTAATATAAGAGATAGAAAACTACAAATAATGGATTTACAGAGGAATTGTAAAGATAAACAAGTATGATTTAAAAAAAAGATCTTTAATATTTATCAGCGGTCTATAACTTCTTTTAGATGCCGTAGTGCCTCATCTAAAGCCATATGCACTTCTAGAGTATCACGAGGGCCAACTTCTATAGACTCCGTGCTACTTCTAGATGAAGATTTGTACAGCATACTTTGAGCTAATGGGCAGAAGACGTCGGGATTCATGGATTCAGTTCTGGATTTTCCAGTTAGATAACTCATTGGTACTCCAATTAGTAGGACCGATATGGCGCCGGCGAATGGACAGTACGTGAATGAGATTCGAAAGAGAGACTGCAGAGGTTTGGCTGGCAATTGAGTCCTGGAAGATATATTACAAACATATTATTATTTGAACTGAAATAATGTATTTTTAAGATGTATGATAGTTTTTTCTAAACTTCCTACATTAAATGTATAACAAAAAATTTACATGATTAAAAGAAAATATACATATAATGATAATTTGTTATGTAGTCCTGGTATAGAATTGTCCACCCGCTTTTTCCCCTTGGATGTCGCAAGAGGCAACTAAGGGAACATAATAGTCGAGGGATGGGCAGCAGCATACCTCCTAAAATATCACTGAAGACTAACTGCGTTCCCCCCCCCCTCTATGGGGGATGCTTATATTCAGCAGAGGACAGTTAATAGCTGATGTAATGATGATGAGGGTGCTATAATTACATAATGTACAAATGTTTTATGTACATACCTTAGATTATAAAGTATATATATTAGCAATGTAAAAAAGAAAAAACATATTAATACATACATGGCGGGAGTATGAACAAAACATGTTTAATTATTTTTAAGTTCTGAAATGGAATTAGTTTTAAGTGAATATACTAAATGTAACATAAAGTAGGAAAAAAAATATTTTTTTGCATATATTTCACGCAATTATGCCATAAATATTTATCTCTTTAAATGCAATACTATAGTACCATCAAAAATAATTTGTACCAGAATTGGTAGAAAAAAAAATCTAATTTAATCCAAATAAAGTACTAAACGTACTAAATACGTGATTTTTTTGCTTTTTTTGGAACTTCAATTCCATTTATATTCTGACCTGTCACATGCACACATTTAACACCTAGTGTGCGTGTTACAGTACAACCATTTTCTTGTTTCATTTTTGTGATTGTATTGCTAGTCTGTCATCATAACACGTTATACTATGTTACGTCTATGTTACGCACTGTTTATTTTGAACTTAGTAAAAGTTTGAATACATGCCAATCCTTCTTAATATCATAAAGCTTAAAGTTGGTGAAGTTTCAGATATGTAAATGTTTACATGCTTGGATGTTCTTTATGTAATTATAATCATGTTAAACAGCATAACAAATTTGGATAAAATTTATTAAGCTGTTTACTTATTTGTGGATTAAATTTTATTAAAATTTGTCTAAAATAAAATTTGTTTAAAATATTTTATCCTTAAAACTGAAATGTCATCGATCATAATATATAAATATAAATTACATAATATTCATGAGTGAAAATCATAAAACAATCAATATATTTTGATATCATGAATCTTAATAACTTCACTATAAAACTTTGAGTTTTATAACAGAACTTGCTTGCAATCGTTTAAAAAATCATACCAGTTTTACAACTTGGGTCATATCTCGTTTACATTTCATTGCTATGCACTAAAAACCTTTTGCAGTCATAGAATTGTACCACCAAACTCATTTGTGACTAAGAAAAGAGTCAACGAACAAAAGTCATAAAACTGTGAGAATCGAGTAATAGTAATAATATGGAGAAAGTTTTAATAAGGGGGAAATAAAAGTATGCCCGAGTCGATATCGCACAAGTTGCGAAGGAGATTAAAACTTTGGCACCGCACAAGTGTGAAGTCATTTGTGCACATAAAAAATCGGTCAAGCGTGTAGCGATCGTAGTTTGCTTTCTGTATGGAAATGTAGCTTTAGTATAAAATATACAGAGTGAAATTGAAATCGTGAGCATCTTTTTAAAAACTTATTTTACAAGTAAAACTAAACATTTATCCTAAACAAACAAGGGTCCAAAAACCATATAGCTGGATTGCCGAACGCACCGTATTAGTGCAAAAGGTCCATTTTATTTTTAATATTTTATTAAACTAGGTGTTGTGGAAGTTCATAGTACTGGTACTTTGATTAAAATCATTTTGTTTAATTCCACTACCATTTCTATGTGTATGACCATCAACACTTAACGGTTAACCGGCGTTCTGCATTTCAGCGTTCAGTTTTTCTGGTGTTTTGGTGCAGAATGGTTTACACTAGGCTCCGAGCAGCGGTCTAAACATTTTCCTAAAGATGTCTTTTTTCTAGGGAAACACGTGTCGCAAAACTTGTAAAAAATGGCAGTCGGAGATTGATGGCTAGTTTGGAAGGTTGTGGAATTTCTGGTAGTAATAGTGGTCACTCTTTGAGTGTTAGCATGCTTAGTATTTTTTTTTAATAGGTGATAATGGAATGGTAACCCCGACTGCGCTATCGGGATACGCTGACGGGGCACCAGTGAAGGATGATAGGTAAGGGTGAAGCAGGTCAGTTGGCCCATCGTAACGAATTCAACAAGAATTCTTCACGATGGTTTCCAAGGGGAACCACGTGGAGATCGACCTAATAGGGCATATTGCTAGCAATGGGGCTGTCAAACTCCATTGCTAACAATCCCTTTCCCCCCGCATGCTTAGTATTAAAATTATATGGATGCTAATGATTTCGATTTTACCCGGTTTTAATATTGAAGATTATTATCAAAACTGTGAATTTGATAGCACTGTGTTGTACTGTTCTATAGAATCTATATCGAAAAATATTTCCTCATGTGTTTATGGAAAAAGTAAAAAATGATTAGTCTTTAAATGGGATATTTTTCTATTGTCACCGTTATGGTGACTGTACTCGACGCCTACATACATTTATTCAAGCATTATATGAATCAAACGTAACAGGAGGTGAGTTTACTGCTGTCTCTTGGATTGATTTCATTTATCAAGTCTCAGACTGACACATAGATTTCGTTTTATTGGAACTTATGTTACTGAACTCTTTTTTTCTAGTTAAAATTATTTCAGTTTCGAAACATTCAACAGTATAAAGTCGAATACACAATATTTTTTTAATGGGTGATATGTATTAGAGACCCTGCCTGCGCTATCGGTATACATTGGTGGGACACCAGTGAGTGATGGTAGGTGAGGATGAAAGCAGGTTAATTGGGCCATTTGAATTCAATGACTATTAACCACGATAGTTTCCAGGGGGAACCGTGTGGAGGTCGACCTGATAGGGTATGTTACTAACAAGCAGGCAAATTAGATCCCATTACTAATAATCTATTCCTCTCAAAACATTATAAAAAGTCTCTACTAATTTTCAAGTCCACATGTCAATTTAAAGTCGTAAGCGCTGATAAATATTGTGATATTATATTGCCGGCGGGGTTAGGAATTATTAACAGTATACCTTGTTAGGTTGAGCTCTACGCAATAACCCTAGAAAGCATCGTGGTTCATTCCAGAGGGAGACTTTGTACAAAAGTCGATTGCTTGGGTACCTCTGTCTCATTCATGTTTCTACCGTGAAGCAGTTGTGTTTGCGTGGCTGTGTTTCGGTTTGAAGGGTGGGATATGGCGTGAATTTACAGGGTACAGAGGAATAACACCTGAGTCCTCAGGAATGGCAACGCATGGGGGGTGTCATGGGTGAAACAGTATACTCTGTTATGTCCATGGTACTGCTCATGTCTATAGGCGACGGTTACCACTTTCCATCAGGTGGACCTTCAGCTTGTTTGCCATTCTAAGTCGTATAAAAAAAAATTCCATCTATCTATATCCATAAAAAAAATACATTGTCTATATTTTCTAAGGTTACTGCTAATTTCATTTCTAGAGGCCGATTTGAAAGTATACTGGACATAACATTCACGTACATTACCGAAACTTATGAAACCATTTAATCCTTTAAAATTTACAAGCTATTAATATTTATGTACTTACACAGCAACAGGAATTGCGTTTGTAACATTATCCAGAACGTAAGTGAAGTTGGTTTTCCCACAGCCCGCTATCACCAAAGGCTTCCCTTGAAAGGTCAACGCTCCCGTTGCGAGAGCATTTTCAGCCCCTATGAGGAGCCAACCACAGAGCATCAGGCTCAGTAAGCAGCCGCTTAGTGCGCCCTGAAATTGAAGTTTCATAGGGAATAGTAAATATTGTTTAAGCGTTAACCCTTTTAGGGGAAACCCATTTCTCACTGTTTGTGACAAACACGATGTATATAGATTCGATCAAAGATTATCCTAGTAGGTAGCTATGTTAAAATCTACTTGTTTCATATGCAAATCCTAGGAGGTAGTCTGGATTTATTTTATTACTTTATTATTGTTATTTATTCATGTATAAGGGTTCGGTTCAGGGTCGACAACACACACGTGACACTCCTAGCGTTGCAGGCGTCCATAGGCTATATATAGTTACTGTTTACTATAAGGGCTATATGTTTGTTTGCCACCTTTGTAGTATAAAAAAATGTATAAACTAGTGTCTACTGACGGTTACGTCCGTGTAATCTGGATGTATTAATTAATCTGTATAAGAAGTATCCTATGTCCTTCCCCATCCCTAATATTAAGTGAATACCAAATTTTATTGCAATTAATTGGGTCTCAAGAGATAACAAACAAACTCATTTCCACATTTTTTTTATACAACGTAGGTGGCAAACAAGCACACAGCTCATCTATTGGTAAAATAGTCACTATAGTTGAAGCATTAATATTGCAGGTGAACACTATAGACATCTGCAACATTAGGGCTGTCAGTGTCACACGCGCGATGCCGACCCTAATTTGTCATATTAGTAAGAAAGTAATAAGTCGCGGGTAATCATAGTTTATTTATAATCAGTTGGTGCTATCACTTATCTTAATGGTACAATTTTAGAAATAAGGTAGAAGGTATAGATTCAAATGTCACCCGTTCTGATTTTTTTTTCAATCGTTCGATATTTGTCAAATAATTTTATTTTTTAAAAAATATATTTTTTGTATATTTTAATGTCATTATCATATATATAAAAAACTATTATATTTTTCCCCCATTTTGGTATGACAACTCTCAATTGCAATAATTATCATAATCTATTACCATTCCAGTATCATTCGTTAAGGACCTTAACGAATGATACTGGAATGGTAATCCCGCCAACGGTATTTTATACGCTAGCGGGGCACCAGTTTCCAGGGGGAACTATGTGGAGGTCGACTTGGTAGGGTATATTGCCGGCAATGAGGCTGTTTAAACTCCATTACTAACAATTCCTTCGTCCTCGTAATAATTTGACTGTCATATCACGCCAACATTAATGTTGGGAAGCAGTTGTAAAAAAAAAAAATATAATATTAAGATAATGCCTACTGAGTATGCCAAACATAAATTGAATAAAAAATATTTATTTTCAAGTATAAAGTACATTTTATGTAAATCATATTTATAAACTATTGAAATTTTTAAATCAAAAAATAACGAATGAATAAATTATAGGTAGTTATAAAGAATCAAAATAATTAATTTCATTACTAGTTGAAAAAAATCATGATCGGGCTTCTGTACGTCCTGCATCATTTTTGCTACTTTTTTTATTTTACTATTTTTTGGCCGATTTATATAATAAATTATGTTAATACATTTTCATTATAAAAATTCTTCTTGTTTGATGTCATTAAAAAAGGTTGTTTTCATTTAAACGTTACAGCGACATCTAGTAAAATAGTAGGAAAATTGGATGTAGATTTGGGAGAATATAGCATTACACACGCTATCTATTCGAAAACGCACAATTCTCTCATACTCATTCATTTCTACTATTGTAAATAGATGGCGGTATATTATTTTGTCCTTTGTGACGACATTCTCTATATTACAATTATGACGGTTAACAAAATAAACGATAATAAAAGCGGAAAATTTTTCTCTAATACTTATTATTATTATATAATTATATTACTTATATGTATTTACGATATCGCTTACTGTTATATATGAATACCGTGCAAATTGTCTTAGGTATGAAAGATAAAAATCCTTGGAGGCGAATTGTCTCTTAGTCACACTTATATTTTTTGTCAGATAGATTACCTTATTTATTTATATAGCAGTTACTTGATGGACACATAAAATAGATAAGCTAAACTCTAAAAAGAATGCTTAAGATGAAGTTCTATACCACTTACTGAACAATTAGCTCTGGTAAAAACAATGCCCAAAGTGAACAGTCCGAGAAGTGTACCAGCTGTAACTCCTGTTACTCCAGATGCTACGTGTTGAAGTCGATCCAAATCTTTAGCAAACCAAACTACACTAGCGCAGTACAAACCGACAAGTATGCATAAAAGCTGGAACGTAATAAATCATATATTACTAAAATGATTTTTTTTATATAATTGAATGGATTTAAAAAAAATCATCATCGTTGTAAAATTTTTAGGTATAAGACCGACACGAGAATAACTAATTCTTATCGATTATTAAGAGAATTATTAAAAATCTGTTCACACTTGACGAATATATCTGGTAAACAACACACAAGAAAAATAAATAATTTTTATCTTAAAAATTAGAAACGATAATGAGTAGGCGTAACGTAAATTTAATAATAGCTAAATATACAATATTTTATTAAGTATATATTTTAACTACTCATTATATTAATAGGTGAACATACTATTAAATATGCAGTAATACGCATATCCCTATAAAGTATATAGTTATATTGTTTAAGATACCTTCATTATTCTGCAGCATGTCGGTTCCCTGGTACTTTTAGGTATCCATGGTCTTATGAACTCTTCGAATAAAACTCCAGATACTGAATTGATAAGAGTAGCGATGCAACTGCAATGATTCTACATTTTATCATGGAGCAAAAACTTTTATAAGAATAAATAAAAATAAAGCATTCAAGAAATTACATACCCTGTTGTTGCACTGAATATTGAAATTATGAATATTCCACAAATACCGGGGAACATTGCTGATAGACTATTAAGAAATTGCGGGACAAGCTGAAAGAAATATATTTGAGTAAAAGGATTATTAGAGTATTTATTTTCCTAATCTACAGATAAATTGATACATAATCAATCAATTATGGTTAATATCATTACCTGTTCATGTTTATGAATTTTTCCAGCTAATAAAGGATCGCATCCTGCAAACCAAGCATATACAGCTAAACCAAGAAAACAAGACAGCAACTTCATTAATATAACTCCTATACAGGCTACAGTCAAACATATTCTAGCCTGGGTTATTGTAGGAACAGACAGAAGCTTTTGCAAAGATCCTTGGCTGAGCCCTATTTTCCATAGCCAGTTTGTACTTAGTGCTAAGGTTACAGCGAAAAATGATGTATGATGTGCCAACTCTGGATCTGGACTAGACAAAAAAATAACGTAGAGATACATAATGTCACATTATACAATACATATATACGAAATTACAAAGGAACTTACTCATATAAGACGAGTCGACCACTATGACTGGCTAGTTCCCACATTCTTTTAAATCCCATAGGTAATATAGCTAGTCCGCTAGGTAGAGCTGTGCCAGCTACTGCTAAAAATGTCGTAACTATTCCAATGCTGATTATAGCTCTTAAGCCTCCCACAGCACTGAGAGTTGCACATGTTACACAAATAACTGCTGTTATGCGACCAGCAAAAGGATTTGTAACTGAAATGGGAATAAAATTATTATTTATATACTTCGACATTTCTATTTCAAGAATAGATGTGGCAACGAAAAATAATAATTACTAAATATTTCAAATGAATATGGAGAGTTTTCATCTTACCTAATCTAAAAGCCAGAAGTGGCACATATGGAACAATTGGTAACAACATAAGTTTACTGATGACGAATAGAACTGCGGCCACCGTTCGTGTATGTGTAGAAAATCTTATTTCCAGATATTCAAAACTAGAGTTTAATTGTAATTTATGGAATACTGAAAATATAAAAACAGTGTCAAAAATTATAAAATTTATTATTATATAATTACAAAAAATATCAAAATAAGTCTGTAAATAATATCAGACTAGATGTATATGTATATATTTTTTTCTTTTGTCGCCTACTTATGGTTCCCTTTTCAAGAATTGCTTTGGAATTTTTTTTTTATACAACTTAGAATGGCAAACAAGCTAACGGCCCACTTGATGGAAAGTGGTAATCGTCGCCTATAGACATGAGCGGTACCATGGATATAACAGAGTATATTGTTTCGCCCATGCGTTGCCAATCCTGAGGACTCAGGTCTTATTCGTTGGTACCCTGTATATTCACGCCATATCCCATTCTTCAAACCGAAACACAGCCATGTAAACACAACTGCTTCACGGTAGAGACACGAATGGGACAGAGGTTAGTTTAGTTTGTCGAATTAAAAAATAGTATATTTTAAAATAAATTCGCTGTTTAAACTAAGAAACTGCGCTATAGATAAACAAACAATCTTATAAGGTACATAACCCTATAATGATAAGATATAATAATCAACATTATGTAATTATCAAAGTAAATATTTACCTGGTAAATATATAATTGCAGAGAGAAAAGTGACAATGATTAAAGATAAGGCCGATGCCCAGTATTGCGTTCCTCTCAAATATATCTCGACGGGAACTCCCAACAAGGTAATGCTCGTTAAATGGCTGGAATAAAGTATAAAACTTTAGTTTAGTTGGATTAGTAATTTTTAAAACATGCATAAAATGGGTAAGGTTTTACACAAATTGCTAAATTTATAAAACGATAGCTAGAATATTTGAAATTTTTGAACTCAGACATAGTTAACTCTATTGTAAGATTTTAGTTAATATTTAACTTAAAATGTTTTTATTATCAATCTAGATATTTCTAATTTATGTTTTGTTACATATTTACAAAATACATTATATTACATTGCAGTATTTAAAATGTTTTATGGAATATATGTATGTATTATAGCTTACCTTGCAATAAGAGAGAATGAAACAGAAATCACTGACATATTTTTGCCACCAAACAAAAATCCGTTCACAGTATTATACTTTCTATTTACTATATTAAAATACACTATTATTCCTATAATAACACCTAAAATTATTCCAAATAAACAATATTCGGCTAAATTAAAATATATTGGTGACAATGGTACATTTGTTGCATTTTTCATTTTGCTTGTAATTATTTTTAATATACAAACAGTTAAAAACGTGTATCAAGTAGACTGTCTTTCAGCAAGTAATGGAGTTGATATCAGTGATACTCGTCTAACAACAATTAAAGAGATATAGCAGAGATAAAAGTGGATTTGTCTTCAATCTCTCAGCAAACATGAGAATAAAAACATTTTGCGAACCAACGTTTACAAGGCAAATAAAAGTAACACGTGAATATCGAGTGCACATATTTTAATTTAGGTAGTTAATTAACGCACATACCAATCAGTTTCAAATGTAAATATAAACAGGTATCTTTAGTTAGATAAAAAATAATGTAATATTTTAGCTATAAATTATAAAAAGAATAGTCAAGTTTTTCGAGATAGTCATTTCCTTTTACCCGTAAATAAATGCCCTTCTCTTTTTATAAATAGTAAATATGTATTTTATTTATTCCAATAAATACTTATGCACATTCATTTTTAATATCTGTCTAATTTAATTATTAATTTATTTATTTATTAGATACTTAGTTTTAACGAAAATAACAAGATACACAGGCGGGGTAAGAATCCCTTAAATCCAGTCAATCTTAAGAATCCGAACACAAAGTATCCATAGGGTTTGTATATAAATTATAACGCATATGACGCAAAAATAATATGATAAAGAATAAACTATATTATTAATAGCTATGTAATTAGTAACTATGTATACACAAATATATCTTATATAGGTGTACAAATATATATATGTGTGTGTATGTGTTAGTGTGTATGTATGTATACATACATTTACATATACTCGTATGTATAATAACTAGATTTAGAATTTGTCTGTCGTAAATAATAAAATAGGTACCCGTAGTTGATGAGTGTGATAAGTAATTAAAAATATTGTGTATTATCTTTATTACATATTAATTATTACTTTTTAATTACGAGTGAGTGTATGTTTTGCAAAATGAAATTTTCTATTATGATTAATACTTTTATTTAATATTTCAAAGTCCTTTTATACTAAAAGCGCCATCTAGACAACGTATGATAAATTATAAGTTACATGCAATGTTCTTCTTTATCCACATACAAATCATTGATTCAAAACTTTAAATTTAGGGGGCGCTGTTCAGTTTAATTCATAACGTATCAAAAATAATTCTTTCTTTAATGAGGACACCACGCCGGCATACACAGACCACCAGTGTATGCCGGCTCAAGAACCCAGCGACCCGGAGGTAGTTGCCTCCGGAGATGCAGCCGGGGTAAAGGGGTTTACCCCGAGACCCCTACCTCACCCGCCTACACTATTAAAGGCGGGCAAGAAGACCCGGATTGATTGATTTTCTTTAATGACTAAAGACAGTATAGCTGCTAATATCAACATACCCGCCTATATTAATTAATTAGTTATTTTTCAAACAAGTATAACATCATAATAGCGAATTTAAACTACTAAACTAATATTATAACTAAACTAATGTTATACCTATACAGGTACAATGAGAAGGTAAAGATGATGTTAGTTGGTTCATCGTAATGAATTCATCAACTATGATAATTTTTAAGGAGCGATCGTGTAGAAGTTGACCTGACAGAGTATTGCAATGGGGCTAGTCATCATTATACACAGAATTTAAAAACTAAAATTGCCTAGGCAGTTACAATATCCAGAGTGAGAAGAAGGAATTGTTAGTAGTATAGATAAGCAATACATTGCTGGCAATATACTCTATCAGGTTGACTCCAAGTGGCTCCCCCTGGATACCATCGTGGTACATACGTACGTAATATTTGTATAATGTATTTATTGTTTTATTTAAACTATTTTATTAATTTATAACAAGTTAAAATCAGAAACCGCAGGAGAACATTTTATTTTTAAAGAGTGGACAACACAGATTAAATAAAATATGTCAAAAGTCTTGAACAACTATCAATCTATGTTAAACGTCAGAACAAAATAGAAGGCGGCAAATTTAAATATTACAACAGTATTTATGTAAGTTCATTTATATGAACATACAGTGTAATAATTTTCCATTGCATATATTATATATATATATACTTTATTGCACTTGTAAGTTACATATAAAATAATCTATTTATAAATGTTGTGAGCAAGGGTGGACTTATCTCTGACAGAGATCTCTTCCAGTCAACCCAGTACAGTAAGAAAGCATTTCGTTAGCGGGCAGCTGAAGTGCTGCAACTATTAATACATAAACAAATATACAGTTAAACAAAATATTAAAATATTACATGAATACATACACTATAAATATATACAATACCTACCTACTTATATAATATATGTTAAAATAAATTAATATACTACTTACATTAGAAATTTCGTTTAATGATTTTAAGATTTGAGAGTTCAATTAGAAAAATACAAAAAAAAAAATATTATATAATTTGTGAGTCAATATAGATACGTCTGTAACTATTTATCCACAACAGCTTTTTTTTTATACAACTTAGAATGGCAAACAAGCTGTCGGCCCACCTGATGGAAAGTGGTAACCGTCGCCTATAGACATGAGCAATACCATGGATATAACAGAGTATACTGTTTCGCCTATGATACCCCCATGCGTTGCCATTCCTCAGGACTCAGGTGTTATTCCTCTGTACCCAGTAAATTCACGCCATATCCCACCCTACAAAGTGAAACATAGCCATGCAAACACAACTGCTTCACGGTAGAAACACGAATGGGACAGAGGTACCCAAGCAATCGACTTTTGTACAAAGTCTCCATCTTTCAACAATTTTTTTCGCATAATTGCATTTCTGTTTTTCCAAAGATTGACGGCGAGATAATTCTTTATAACATTAAGTTCGCCTTTTGTAACAAAAAATTTTTTGTTATGTGGCTGGCCACAGTTTTTACTTGTAAAAAATAAATAAATATAATCATTAAATTTCTTTTTAGCCTCAAATTACACAAGTACGCAAGGCAATCCCAAGTTATCCGTAAAACTAGGCAAAAGCAGTATTTACGGAGGTCGCTTGGGGGCCAGGTGTGAGAGTAATATTCTAATGTGGGTAAAAGCGACCCGCCATCCATTATAATATAACCCCACTCCACTTCCACATAAAACTATGAAACTTAAATAAGGAGTAACTGGTGTTGTTTTAGTGACGGTAGTGCTGGTTAAATTGAACGTTTTGTTATGAGACATTAGATACATTTTTCTCATGTTCTAAATTTAAATTGATACTATCGTAAAAGTATTGTATTTATTAATTTAAAACAACATTTAAAATTTTGATTAAAATTTATTTTAAATCTTATTCATATAGGTCATTAGAACCTTAATTTATTGCACTGCGATATTAAATTTTATTTTTGTTACTGAAAATGGACTTTAATTTTAGTAATTGTGAATGAGTTTTGTTATTAATTATAATAAACATCATATCAGCCTTTAACTGTCCACTGTTAAATAAAACCTTCACTTTCGGGGGTTTAGCCAGTAGTTGGTATGCTTGGCAGGCGGATTGGCAACCGCAGTTAGGGCTTTAGAATTATTAATAATAATAAAATAAATATTGAGAATGGCGCCTTAAAATAAGTGTTATTACTCAGGCCGTAGGTCTCTCCATAATGGTTTTGCCAGCTATCCACTGTTGTCACGCTTGGCAGACGGGTTGGCAACAGCAATTAGGCTTTTGATGAAAATTATATTATATTCATGATATTATATAGTCTGCTCGTATGGTAAGTATACAATATATGTTACTAGTTTTTACCCCCAACTTTGTTCTTATGATTGGAGTATGTTGATGGACTAGGATAGAAAGAGGCTTATGTATTTTTTCATCACAAATACAATGTGTGTATAAAATTTCATGACGATGTGGACCGTTAAAGCGACATGACATAGCAAACAAACAAACATACAGATTTAAATTAGGCAGGGCACCACAGTATGATAATTAAAAAAAAAATGTTCAGGCTATAAAACTATTAAATATTATAATAATACAAGGTAACGATAAATATAATAATTTAATTGATTTTGTTCTACAGAAAACACCGACTGCAATCGTGGCAAAATGAGATATTTTAATTTAAAAATTGAACTGCTGAGCCGTTTTCGATAAAATTTCTATGGGACATATCTGAAAGTATATCCTTTCAAATAAATAAGAATCGTTTAAATTGACTTATAAATGACGGAGATTTGAGGTAACAAAGATAAAACAAAAATAACCACTTCAAAAAAGCAAGTTCCGACCTCCTTTGAAGTGGTTGAAAACAGGTATTAAATTTAATTTCTCAATACAAAATTACATTTAATAATCAGTAATATATGTAGACTTACTGAAGTATATTTTATTAGAAACTTGACTATACTTTTTACGTATCTATATTAATCTGGTGGTGCGATAAATTTGAGACACGTACACGTTGAAATACACAAATCACCTCGAACCTATACAATATCGCAAATATTTCTTGTCCAGAATACTGGGTTGGGTGACACGGGAGCGTGGGACCACAGGCGACATGCATATAAATTCAATTGAATTGTATATGAAATAAAAATGGAGTGGCAATTCCACGTGTATTATAGATATATGCTGGCGATAGTGAGGGATCATCATCATCAACGAGTGGCGGTCTTCCACCGTGCGTTTTTCAAGGCACTTTCTTCCACGCACAACCATTCTTTGGAATCAACTTCCAGCAGCAGTATTTCCGAACCGATACGACAACATAACCTTCAAGGAAAGAGTATATTCCTTTTTAAAAGGCCGGCAGCATACCTGCAATGCCGCTGGTGTTGTGGGTGATCATGGGCGGCGGTAGTCACTTACCATCAGGTGAGCCACATGCTCGTTTGCCCCCTGTGTTGTAAAAAAAAATCATCATCATATAAGCCATTGTCTGTCCACTGTTGAACACAAGCCTCTCCCATAGACTATTATAAGGAATAGGGCTGCTTCTTATGGCAGTTTACCACTAGCGGGACTTTGCCAGTAATTACCTCGGTTGGCAAGCGGTTTAGAAACCTCAGTTTGGCTTTTGGTGATGTTTTAAAAGGGACGCTGCTGTTCATCTCTTGACCATTAAGTTCCCTTAGTCGCCTCTTACAATATCCACTGG